TTAGCAATTATCAGTTTTATAAATACTTGAATACTAGTACAGAGACCTGAATAGCACATTTGTCAAAACAGAACCAACTATGTTATGATAGCCAGATTCTATACCTCTCCTCCTTTTTCCATCCTCATCTCTGTCACCTCAGTCCTGAGATCAGGAAGCAGTTGTTGAAGGGCCTTTTAGATTTTAAACATGTAAATAAAACAAAATAGTTCTCTTCTGCTTAGGATTTTAAAAGCAATAGCTGCAGTTAATGCCCTGCTATTTTAGTTTCTTTGTGAGGAAATGCCTACTGATTAAGCTGTCTTCTCATAACTGAGCTAATAGTTTTGCCAAGAAGATGAAAAACTAATCACAGGCTTAGATCCTTGGGATTGCTATTTAGTGATTCAGGATGCATTCATATTTGGCTATATAAAAAGGCTGTTAGGAGTGTGAACAAATACAGGAGATGGGATTTATTTTTTAAAGGAATAAATGGAATTTGACAGTTTTTTACAATTAGCTTTTTGTTGTGGAAATGCGTGGTCATCTTCTGCTTGATCATCTGCTTCATTCAGCTTCACAGCCACAAAAATTATTCAAGGCCTACTAAGGGCCCTTTATTGTTAGGAAATCTGTCATGTTACCCTGTCTATACTTGCTAAAATGTAGGAAACTTCAAGGCAAAGTTGTTTTCATCCCTGTTCCATTTACATGCCGTTTATACTATTTTCCTCCACTATAAAGGAAGGGATCTAAGAAGTAAAAACTTGGAAGCAATGTGTATTTTCACAGTCTGCAATCTAAATATTTATATAATTTCTTACATACAGCCCTATAATTGGTAGAACCTTACATAGAAGCTTTCAAATAATTCTGAAATATTAGATAGGATGGATTAAACGAATCCTTCTAACTTACGGGGGTTTGTAATTTTTTATTTGATTAGTACCCTAAAATTGTGTTGTGTAAAACTAAGACATCCAGTCAAGCCCCTGGCTTGGGTTAGAGAGTGAATTTTCTTTTTGTTAGATGCTGCTAAAATAGTGGCTTACAAGGGACTCTGGTTTGATGGGATGGATGTTCCCTGCAAAGTTTAGGTCGGTGCAAAATTGCCATTTCAGTGGCAAAAGCTGCAATTACTTTTTCAGCAACCTAAGTATTTAATAGGTTGATTAACTTGTAAATTATCTGCCTTAGATGTTTACTTTTGTGTATTGCTAACATTTTCTGGAGACATTATTGGCATTTTTTTGTGTAATCCTTAGAAAAACAACTATGTTGTTGAAAATTTAAAGAATCTTAATGTTGTTTGTGGTCATTTTTGGCAGAGAATGCCTAGAGTTGCCAGAATTGCGTAAGTCAAAATTCAGCCTGCAAGTTTAGGGTTAGCAGATATAGCGGATACAGAAACATCATGGTCGTTAAAGTGATAACACGATGTTTGAAAAGAAAATCATACAAATAATGCCATAATGGTTTGGAATAATGCAGATTTGAATGTTTAACTTATTTTTAAATACTACCTCAAAGGATCTACCCATGACAGGGATGAGTATGCTTGAAGAATGTCTTAATTTATGTGTTTGTGATGTTCGATTTGCAGTTTCCTACCGCATTTGAATTCAATGAGTATTTTCTCATTACCATTTTGGACCACCTATACAGCTGCTTATTCGGAACATTCCTCTGTAATAGTGAACAACAGAGAGGAAAAGAGGTAAAATATGAAACATGACCTTACCCATACTATCTCTACTGTGTACTTTTCCCTAAAAGAATGTACTCTGTGATAGATTTCAACTGAAGTCATTCTTTTGGGTCATACTTTATCTTACATGCTGTAATATTGATTGCTTCCTTCCATAGATCTGGAACTGATATATTCTGAAGTATCTTTGTCACAAGGCTGAAGGTGCTAGCTAGCTGTCTGCTATGAGTTCATGGGTGGGAAGTAGTTTGTGCTAAAGAGAACTGAAATGTGTGAAATCTAAGGAGCCACCAGTGTACCATTTTTTTCTATGTAGAATGGAAATCCTTTACAGTAGGTGCAGAAAAATTTAATTAGCAGAAAATGTATATTCGAGTGAATAGGCAGCTCAAATTCCCAAGTATATCCTATTTATGGAGACATTTTAGGTTAAGTTTTTGAGTTTTTTAAGTTGTAGAGTAATACTGTAAAAAAATTCAAACACATAAAAGATAGTATGTGGAAAGTTAAAGTTTTTCATTATCCCACTTTTCCCCAGAGGTATCACTGTTAAGTGGGGTTGGTATTAAGAAAAAATGGTGTAAGGATTACATTTCAAGTTTTACTTCTTTCTCAAAACTTGTCTATCCTATGTATCAACATCTTAGTCATCTTGATTAGTATCTCCCTCTGCATCAACTTTTATTCTAAAAAATGTGGTTATAAAGTAGTTTATGTTTTATTTTATAAAGCACAGTAGGAATAAGTACTTGCACTGAAGCTCAGTTGCTGGGTTCAAATCTTGGATCTATCACTTACTGTAACAGTTTGCTTGGGGAAGTTAATGTCTCCTTTTGTAAAATTATGAAGATTATTAAATAAGCGATACAAAATGCCACAAGAACTGCTATGTAGTATTTCCTAGACTTCCTTAAAGGCAGGTATTAAATTTTTAAATTCACCTTATGTTTCAGTGTCTAGCATGCAGTAAATATTTCTATGTATAGCAGGCACTCAATAACTTAAGGAATGTTCATTAGAAATAGCATAACAAAGTTTCAAAGATAGTTTTATTTTTTGAAGGCCCTGGGTAGGAATCATTGATTAAAAAAAAAAAAAAAAACTTTTGAAATTAATACTTTTTTAAATTAATAATATGCATACCATGAAATTCACTTTGATAGTATATAGTTGACTGGTTTTTAGTATATCTGAGTTGTACAGCCATCACCACATTTTCATTTCAGAACATTTCATCACCTCAGAAAACCTGTTAATAGTCACTCCCCATTCAGCCCTGCCAAACACTAATGTTTTTGTCTCTGGATTTGCCTTTTCTGGATGTTTCATATAAATGGAATCATTTAATATGTAAACCTTGTGTCTGGCTCCTTTCCTTTAATATGCTTTCAAGGTTCATACATCATTTCTTTTTATGGCTGAATAATACTCCATTGTGTGGATATATTTTAGTTGTCATCAGTTAATGGACTTTTGGGTTGTTCCTACTTCTTGACTATTAATGAATAATGCTGGTTTGAACATCTATAAAAAAGTTCGTACAGACATGTCTTCCGTTTGTTGGATAGGTACAAGAGTGGAATTGCTGGATCATATGGTATCTGAGGAAATGCAGACTGTTTTCCAGTACCCTCTGATTTTAATATAAGTTGGTTTATCACTGAAGTCTCCAAGTCCACATCCTCTAAAGAGATTTTAATGACGACAAAGTACTTTTTTTACAAATTTCATCTAAAGTGTAAATGGCTTATGTGGTGGATAATCTTTACCTATTTTTCCTGCCTACAGAATCTTCCTAAAAGGACTGTGTCACTGTGGTCTTACATAAATAGCCAGGTGGAAGACTTCACTAATCCTCTCTATGGGAGCTATTCCAATCACGTCCTTTATCCAGTAGCCAGCATGCGCCACCTAGAGCTCTGGGTGGGATATTACATAAGGTGGAATCCACGGATGAAACCACAGGTATGTGCTGTAGGATATACAATGGGAATTTTCATTCATACAATGCAATTTTGTCCCTTAAAAGCAGCTGGAAAGATTATCTGTGCATATTTGAAACTTTACTCTTTACCCATTAATAGTTACAACTGTATAGTAGAAAAAGTACTATACTGGGGCAGGGTAATCAGTATACCTGGTTCTTAGGACTGCTTGTATGACATCAGACATATCACTGCTCTCTTTTCTCGCATCTTCCCTCCTCTGTCTGGATAACCTCTAGGGGCTCTTGTTTTAATAAGCTGAAGAAAGTAGCTTTAGGAAAGTTAAAAGCTGAACAAAATTCTGGTCTACTGTGAATATGTTTATGGAATATTAACTACTTAGAACTGTTTAAGACTAAAAACCTGTAAATAATAGGGAATCTTCTGACTACTGACTTTTAATTGTGTTAATTATTTGTTGTATTTGGAAAAGTACCAGTTTCAGGAGCACCTACACAGCAGGTTATTCTCTGGAAATACTCAGGGGCACTGGGAAAGCCAGTGGAAAGATGAGTGGTGTCCATAGTCCCTGTATTTAACTTCACTGATGGGTTGGAAAGGTGCCACTGGTTCCAACAGCTGAAAGAACATACACTGCAACATTTAGGGAGTGATTTGACTCTTTGGTCAGGATTTCCTAGTTGAATATTTTATGTTTTGCTCTTGCAGGAACCTATTCACAACAGATATAAAGAACTTCTTGCTAAACGAGCAGAGCTTCAGAAAAAAGTAGAGGAACTACAGAGAGAGATTTCTAACCGATCAACCTCATCCTCAGAAAGAGCCAGCTCTCCTGCACAGTGTGTCACTCCTGTCCAAACTGTTGTATAAAGGACTGTAAGATCAGGGGCATCATTGCTATACACTCTTGATTACACTGGCAGCTCTATGAGTAGAAAGTCTTCCGAATTTAGAACCCATCTATGAGAGAAAGTTCAGTCACTTTATTTATTTTAAATCTCTCTAGGATGAGTTTAGAACTGTAGCAGTGCAGGTAGCTTAAGTGAAATAACTCCATATGTAATTACATGATTATGATACTAATCTTCTAAGTATCCAAAGGATATTAAAATACTTCAATCCTGGATCCACAGTGGGAACAAGTTTCTATTAAAAGGCAAATGCTGTTACAAATTTTTGGCTTCTGGTAATATTAAAACCATTTTAGAAATATGCTCTGTGCTCACTGTGCAGAGGAGTATCAGTTTTCAAACCAAAACTGAAATTCTGTGGCATCACATATATTGGGCCTTGATGTCATCACAGATCAAAATCATTTGATATCCTTTTCTCCATTCTAGGTTTTTCTTTTTTTCAGTAATTGATTTACCTTGATCACTTTTCAACTTCCATATTCTTCATACAGTAAAAGGCAAAGTGTTGAAGATATTATGGTGTAGTAGTAGTTGAAAATTATTGCTGTCATTGTTTACATACTTAAGACATATTAGCAAGTTGAGCCAAAATGGGAGGCCTTATAGATGTGCTTGGGGGAAGATGAAGGGCAGAAAGTATCCATACAGGAGTTCAAAGAATTCTATGCCCTTCAGATTAGCCCAATTACCAGAAACATCATGGGAGATATTTTAAAAACTAATTATTCACTTGTTTTGTGTGTCTGAACACACAGAAGCTAATTGGCAAGTTTTTAAGAAGTATTTAAAAATCTTACTACGACTGACATTTTTCTGAAGTCTGTATAAATAGCTTATAGTGAGAAGTACTATGCTCAAATTTTACATTTTTCCCTTTGCAAATTCTATAATTTCCACTACCAAAGAACACACTGCATGTAAAAGATGTATTACAATCTCAAAGCCAGTAAAAGAAATCTTGCTTCACTGTTCACCTGCTACAAGTAAGAGTTTGGTGCTGGTAGAAACATTTGACTTTTATTCTATATAAGAGCCATATGTAATGTACTGTAATAAAGGAGCTTCTTGTCCCTTGGTCTTTTAATTAAAAGAAATTCCAAATGACTTTTAAACTTTGTTCTTGTCCAAAGTTGCCTTTTCTTTTTTTTCCCCAGAAATATTTGGAAATTATTGGAGGAATATGCACCCCACATGAAAATGTTCAATTTGTACCCATTTTCCCTTAACCAACACCCAAATCAAACAAAATATACAGTGTTTTTCCACTCACTGATTCACTATACAGGGAGTCTGAACCTTAGCCTCCCTCTTGGTCTTGCAATGAGGAACTATAGTTTCTATTAGTATATCCAATTTAGCAAAATTAGTACCAAAATTATTTCTTTGGTAATTGTGTGAAATACAAGCTTTTAAACAGGGCATTTAAGTGGCTAGCAAATCGGTGTTAAACATTAAGCTTTCTACTCCAAGTATTTCACAAATGCATCTGCCATTTTCCTCATTTAAACTTTGATTATCTTGGCCTGGTACCACATACAAGAATGTAGAATGGCTGAAGAGATCAAGAATTTAAAGCTTCTAGTCTTAATATACTTGCATCCACTTCAAATTCCAATCAAAAGCCAGGGGAATCTAAGTGCAACCCTACCACTTCTCTGCTGAGAACCTTCCAGTGGTTCCCCTCACCTTCTGTAGAAGTCTCCAATATGGAGTACATGCACTTGAGCATTTAAGATATACCACTGGTGTGTGTGGAAGGGAGGGAGGAGGAATACTAGCACTTTTTATATATTTACACAAGCAAAACTTTTAAATATTTGAATTGACAGTTACATGTTTCATAACTTTATATTTCTAGTCTGTTGGTTGTACAGGTGTAATTTTTTCCCTTTTTGATTAGGGTTACAAAATTTAGAGACCAGTATGACTAAGTTGAAGCTCCTTAGCCTCCTTCGACCTAGTCTCTGCATACCTCAACTGTTATGTACCAGTGCTACTCTTCTGTTCACAATTGCCTCATGTAATCTGCAGATTCCTGCTTCCCCACTTTTGTTCAGTCTATCTTGTGCACCTGGAACAACTGTTCTCCCTTGTGACTAATTCCTCTTTTCTAGCGTTTAGGCATCACCTCTTCCTCTGGGAAGTTATCTGATTCACGACTGCCTTCTCTGACATCCCCACCTTCCTCTGTGCCCCCATAGCACTGTGTATATGGCTACTACCACTGCAATTCACCACATTATATTGGAATGAACAATTCACCTGTCTACCACAAGTCTGTAAACATACCTTATTTGAAATGAATTGCAATAAAGCTGTGTTACAACGTTAGTGGATGGATGACACATTCCTCTACTGTAAACTTGCAGATAAGAAAACTGAAACAGTATTTTTTCACTTCTCACCTGAGAGTACAAAAAGCTGGAGTAGTTCAGTTTGAATCCTAGTTGAGAAATGGGGTGGGATTTAGCATCATTCAATCACCCTTCTCCTAATTAGGACTCAGAGCCACTACAATTCAAATGATGGTTATACAATTTAATGACCTGAAATTCAAACAAGGAGATAACAGCAGTTTTTAATAGTTGAAATGGTGGTTGACACATATATTTATCATGTCACCAGTGCACTGTTTCTCACTTCTCTTGTGTCTATGGGCTCACAGTTATTAATTCGATCAAGCTACAAACCTACTCATTAGAAAACTGGACACACAAGCACAAGTTTACAAGCCACAAATACCCCAAAATCTACTTAAGGATCCTAAATTAAAGTCTGTTACTGTAGTATCTTGTATCATGAGGAAATCTAATATTCTTGGGCTCTCTTTCTATGTAAGCATGAGTATAGCAACTAAGTACTAGTTTTTTCTCTTCATCAGTACATTGATGTCCTATTTAGAAATGCATTTTTTGAGAGCTTATCACAAAGCCTTTTACAGGCTGTTAAGGAAAGTTTCAGTGTTTCTTTTAAAAAGGTGCTTTATTGACTTTAAATTTATAAAATGTTAACATGTCTTGATCTAGTTGAAATTATGATTTATAGAAACATAACAATTATGTGTACAGTTCATATTCCACTCATACTGTACACCAGTAAAAGCAAATACTCAAAGGGTTCTCTAAGTTTCAAGATTAAAAACCATAATGCCTTGACTGAATATCATGATTACAAAACAGCTGTTAAGAACTATGAAGGTATATGCTCACAACATATCCCTTCTCCCATTCTCACTTTATTCCAAAATCTCATTTCACTGACAATTTGTTTATACTTTCAAAAATCCTTTTATAATTTTTACAGATACAACTCAAAATGACTGCTTGGGTCTTTAAAAAAATTAACAGATAAAAAAGCAATACAAGTGCACTTAATACTGATCAAAGTCTGAAATGCCAAAAAGCAAAATAAAAATCCTCTGAAATATATATTTAAATATAGAAAAACTCCACCAATAGTAGAAACAAAGTATGTTTAACGGTTGCTTTGGAAAGGGGAAGTGGGCACTTCATGCCAGGGAGATTTAAAAATGAGACTTTTCAAGCAAGCACTGCCTATGGCATAGTCTCATATTTTGAAAATGTAAACCTAATTTTAAATATAAAGAACTATTTTTAAAAAATCACACCCACAAGTAAAAAACTGGTAATCTGTTTACAAAGTGCAATATATCAGTACAGCAAACTCATCTCAACAAAACAAGATTATGTGTGGTTTCTCAGGCTTTAAAACCCCCCTGGTTTCCATTTAAATGTTTTAACACTGAGTCATCCTGCATACATGAAAAGCCTGTGTAATGAAGCCTCGGTCCCTTAACACCTGCTATTAATTAATTCCAACATAAGTGAGTATGAGATCTGGGAAGTAAATTGTCATCATCTGATTGATGAGGTACAGATTATCTGAATAAAATTTCTGACCTGGTTATGAGTCAGTAATCCCAACACAAACTACTGCTTTGTAGTGAATTCTGTATGGTTTGCATGTCCTTCAATAACTGAAGATTTTTTCTGCCTTTTTCTCCAGGTCTCAGTTTGGTAAAATCTTTCTTATTTGTGGTCCCTGTGATTCCAGAACGGCTGCTGCTGTTTCCTTCTTCATCAAGAGTCTTTTTGGTAGCTTTTAATTCCTTCTTCTGCTTCTCTAACTTCTGTTTCTCCAGCTATACCAAATAACCAAGGCAGGAAGGAAAAGGAGAATTTAATGAAAATATTTTTTTCTGACAACAAAAAGTACAAAAGAGTACCTTTTTTTGGTTAACTCTTATGCTAACTGAAACTCAAATAATACATCCTAGGCTTTTTTTAAAAGACTTCAAAACCTACTGCACTAGTCATTTAACACTTAAATATTAATATAAATAAATATATGCTTAAATATATATAACAATATACAAACAAGTAAACCTGAGTAAACAAATTCTGGTTGTCCTAAATTAAGGCAATATTGCCAAAGTACAGAACAGGGCGAGTGAAAAACAAGGGGAGTTGAAGGAAACTCATGGAGGAGGCAAAAATCAGACACACAGAAAAGAACAGGAAGGATTTTCACAAATGGGAGAAGAGGAGAAAGGCATTCTAGAAACTAGTCTGAGGAGGCAAAGCAGCAATTTCCAGATGGATGAACAGATGTAATTGGTAATGTATTAATACTATGAAAAGAATTTCATTTTTGTTCTATTATTTTAGAATAATTTAAACCAAGGGAGCTTTATTTTTACTTTAGCCAAACTGATGCTGGCATGTTGGTGTTCCATTAGAATAAGTCTAATTAGTATGAGCAACAAATTAAACCATTACTCCTTACTCCTACAGGAATAATTTACTTGTATTTCTTTTTCATACATGAACTTTGAAAAAACATCCCAAGTTTTAGAGTTGAAAAGGCTAGTTTCATCCCAGCTCTGCCATTTCCCAGTGAGCTGGTACTTGGGCAAGTTATTTAATTTTGCTGAGGATATATGCATACTTCCCAGAAAATGTGGCCTAGCATCCTCATCTATGAGAATATACCCACTTCATAAGCCATTTGTGAAAATTAGATGATATACTCAAAGCACTTGGCACTGGGTCTATCATATGGCTACCAATCAACAGCCAACAAACCTGTTCTGCTCTCTGAACTTCTCAGCTTTCTCCATTTCAGTCAGTGGAATCACCATCCTGCCTAACTCCCTCTCCTTCTACATGATACCCAGCAGCAAATAACCCCAATATTTTTTTTACTTCCAAAATATACCTCAAATCTGTTTACCTCTGCCCAAACCCAACTACTGTCTTGCTGACCACCTCTTATATGTCTATAGCTGATCTCTCAGCCTCTCTGCCTTGATCCCATCACCCTACCCCTAGTCACTATAGTAATCTCTTAAATACCTGAATCATGTTTCTCTCTGGATAAAAACCCTTGAGTGTGATGTCACCACTGCATCTAGTAGATACTACATTGTTGGCTGATATAAAATGATTAGTAACATAAATATATTTCACATATTTAATGTTTGACTTATTCCTTTGGAAATAGAATTTCCCAGGTGCTTTTTAAAAAAAACTTACTTGGATAAACTCAGAACTATTTAAATTCATCAAAGAAGTTAAAGCTTATTCATAAAGAATATTAAATACATTCAGTATTTGAAAGATGTATCTTAGATGAATATGCTAAGCGACTAAAAGTGTCTTCTTTCCTAATCTACTTACCAATTCTTAATGAACAAATGTCTTCAGTAAAGAAGTATCTCCTGTAGATATTTATCTATGATACACTTAGTGTCATAATTTAATATTTGAATTAAAGTGTATTTTTTTTCTTAATCATTAGAAACTTGAGTGAAGGAAAACTGAGTTACCTGGGCTTGGTATTTTCGAACTTTAGTTATTTGGTTGGCTTTTGCTTCCATCCTTCCCACTAATGCCTCCAGTTCACACTCTAACTTGTCTTTCAGTTCAACAGTTGGTGACTCCTGGATAAGTTTTGCAAGCTGCTGGTGATCACTATATACAAAGCAGAAGTAGAACATGGTTAAGTTTTCTATGTTTCATGGCTAGGTCTATTATACCTTACTCATTATGGGGTTACTGCCACATGTGTTTAAAAAATGACTCCATTTTTTGAATAGAGCAAGAAATTTTTTTTTGAGATGGAGTCTCACTCTGTCGCCCAGGCTGAAGTGCAGTGGCACGATCTCGGCTCACAGCAAGCTCCGCTTCCCAGGTTCATGCCATTCTCCTGCCTCAGCCTCCTGAGTAGCTGGGACTACAGGCGCCCACCACCATGCCTGGCCAATTTTTTTGTATTTTTAGTACAGACTGTTAGCCAGGGTGGTCTCAATCTCCTGACTTCATGATCACCCGCCTCGGCCTCCCAAAGTGCTGCGATTATAGGCGTAAGCCACCGTGCCCAGCCTAGATCAAGAAATTTTTAATTGAAAATATAAATTTAAAAGTTCAAGAAAGGCACTGGAGGGAAATGCAAGAGTTCTTAATTTCAAGGTTAAATCTTTATATTCATATTTTCCCCAAAAGAATACTGTATATGTAAAGGAAAGTCTAGAGATGAATCTTGTTCTTCAGACACTCATGTCCTAACTTATCAGTTAAGTTTAGCTAAAATGAATGTAATGTCAGGCACCAGATAATGATGCAGTACATGACAGACCACATATACCACAGTGATCCCATAAGACTTTAATATCATATTTTTACTGTACCTAGGTATGTTTATATACACAAATACCATTGTGTTACAACTGCTTATAGTATTTAGTAGTAGAGTAACATGCTGTATAGGTTTGTAGCCTAGGAGCAATAGGCTATAAAGATTGGCACACTCCTACAGGCATAAGGAAAAAAAAATCGCCTAATGATATTATTTCTCAGAGCACATCTCTGTCATTCAGTGACGCATGACTGTATATCATAAGTTCTCAAAGAAATAAAACTTAAATATAAACCTTGGTCTTCAAAACATTTAACAGTAAGAGAGAGATTTTACCCTTATTAGTTGTATTTGTTAAAGTCCCAGTAACTTGGCTGGTGTAAGGATTGTGCTCAGCCATACTTGCTCAACAAAGGAAAGTAAGAATAATAAAGTCAACAAGTTTTTAAAAACTGAGGTTTTAGAGCTAAATTGAATTAAAAAAACAAACAACAAAAAACAACTCACAAGCTCATTTGCCCAAATTCATCCTGTAAAGTCTGTAAGACTTCTGCCAGCTCCTCATTAATACCGTTGGAGGGAGACGTTACTGACAACTTCTTACTTTTACCACCTCGTGAAGATGCTTGCTTTGCCAAAGGAATACTGTTGATGACTCGATCATTGCACAAAGCTTTACTGTGTTGCTTCATTAGATGCAAGACAAGCTGAACATTGGCTACCACGGCATGGCTAGGACTTGTGGACTAAAGGAAGAAAAATGATGAAAGTAACTGAAGTTATATTCTCTACACCACTTTCTATTCACTAAGCCTAGGTAAAAAGAACTCTTTACCCCTCAAAGTACAGTATATAAATCCTAAAATTATTCTGATCATGATGTTCTTCTATTTGAAATCCTCTGATATAAATCCACTAACTGTAATGTTTTAAAATGAAAAATAAGGCCCTACATCATTGAGCTGCAACCTACATTTCCTAGCCTCATGTCCTATCATCCTCCACTTTTCTCCATTTTGTGAACAAACCATATTTGCAGATGACATTTTTTGGTGTGTTAGCAACATTTATATCATTCTTTAAAACCCAGTTCAAATATATTATTTTTAAAGGCTTCCTTAAAACTGCCAGGTAATCAGTCCATTCTCAGATCACCTATAACACTTTTTACATCTCTCATATCATTTATCATAATATATTTTAATTGCTTTTACATATCGATTTCACCTATTAAACAGTGTACATCCAGGTGGTAGAGACTTGTTCATTTCTCCTGGAATAATAGGAAGCACTAAATACATGTCTATCACATGTGTAAGAAAAACCTGATAGACTTCTCAAAAATATTTTGTTTTTGTTTTAAACACTAAACCAACTATCTCAATGTACTACTCCATTTTATAAATAGATGGCTGGGCTTACTTGGCTCCATAAATATCATTAGATAGCATACTTAAAATGCAGGTTCCTAGGCAGCACACCAAACTCACTGCAGAGTTAGAGTTTGGAAATTTGTTTTCAAGTCCTCCAGTTGATTTTGATTAGCCAGATTCGGAACCACCATGCTAAGGTAAACATATGCTTTCCTTCTAATCTTAGTTCCCATTGTTAGCTAGCAAATTGAATACAGCAGTATTATATATCACATCCAAGTGGGAGTTTATTACATCAATGCAAGGCTGGTCCACTATTCAAAAATCAATCGATGTAACCACTATTTTGCTCGTAACTTGTAATATATATTTATTATACTAATTGCCTATAAGTACACTTTCAGTATGCAATAATTTAAAAAATTCTCTTGTTCCTGTTATTTTTCTGATTATATTAATATGCACTTGACCCTTGAACAATGGAGGGGTTGGGGCACCGACCACCGATGTAGTCAAAACTCTGCCATAATGAAACTTTATTTTCCTTCAACTTTTAAGTTCTGGGGTACACGCACAGATTTGTTACATATGTAAATGTGTGCCATGGTGGTGTGCTGCACAGATCAACCCATCACCTAGGTATGAACCCCAGCATCCATTGGGTACTCTTCCTGATGCTCTCCCTCCCCGTTGACCAACTCCCCCACCAAACAGGCTCCAGGGCATGTTGTTCCCCACTATGTGTCCATGTATTCTGATCATTCAGCTTCCACCTATGCAGCTGAGAACTATAATAAAACTTTGCCCTAAAATGTAACTAATAGCCTGTTATTGACTGGAAGCATTTATATTATGTTTTATGTATAAACTATATTCTAAAAGTAAAGTTAGAAGAAAATATCAAGAAAATCCTAACGAAGAGAAAGTATATCTACTATTCATTAACTGGATCACCATACAGGCCTTCATCCCTATTATTCACTGTTGAGTAGGCAGAAGAATGGGGTTGGTCTTGAATGGGGTTGGTCTTGCTGTCTCAGCAGTGGCAGAGGCAGAAGGGGTGGAGAGGGTGGAGGGGGAGGCAGGAGAGGCTAACACATTCTATGTAACTTTACAGAAATATACTATAATTTGTCTTGACTTTTCTGCTTTCTCATTTCTCTAAAAATGTTTCTATATGATACCAATTATTCTTCCACCATTTGCTTTAGTTTCAGTGATGTATCATAGAAGGGTCTATGTCATAAAAGTCAAAAGCAGGTTGGGCACAGTGCTCACACCTGTAATCCCAGCACTTTGGGAGGCTGAGACAGGTGGATCACCTGAGGTCCGATTTTGAGACCAGCCTGGCCAACATGGAGAAACCCTGTCTCTACTAAAAATATACAAAAATTAGCCAGGCATGGTGGTGCATGCCTGTTGTCCCAGGTATTTGGGAGGCTGAGGTAGGAGAGTTGCTTGAACCCAGGAGGCAGAGGCTGCAGTGAGCCGAGATGGAACCATTGCACTCCAGCCTGGGTGACAGAGCGAGACTCTGTCTCAAAAAAAAAAAAAAAAAAAAAAAAAAAGTGAAAAGCAGTCTTGAATAATTAGAACCCTTCTGTCAGACTGTCTAGTGTCAATGTGTTTTCTGACATTACTTCCACGTTGTCTTCCTCATCTTGTGGCACTGGTTTGAAAGCACTTGTATCCATCCCAGTTGTTAATTCCTCTGTCATGGTGTCTACTGACTCTTGAATTTCTCCAAGATTTGTATCCTGAAATCCTTCACCTCCAACCTTCTTTTTTTTTTTTGCCGTATCTACAATCTCTTTCATGATTGGCTCTGTCATAAATCCTGTGAAATCATGCATATCATCTGGAGTTTTCTCCAATAGGAATTTATTACTTCAGGCTTGATGGCTTTCATGACTTTTTCTATAAAAATGATGGCATCATCTTCAACTGTGTAATCCTTCCAGACTTTCATAATGTTCTCTCTGAAGTTATCTTCCACAGCATTAAGAACCCTTTTTACAGTGTACGTAATGTGCCTTAGAGGTCCTTATGCTCCCTGATCTAGAGGCTGAATTAGATACCTTGTGTTTAGGGGCAAGTAGAATACTTCCATGCCTTTGGTGTTGAACTTCCATGTTCCTGGGTAGCTAGGGGCAATGCCTAGTATTAAAAAGACTTTAAAAGGCAGTCTCTTACTGGCAAATTACTTCCTGACTTCAGGGACAAAGCATTGATGGACCAATTATTTTTCTAAATCCAGTTTAGAAAAAGGGTTCTCAACGGGGCATTCTTGTCGTAAACCCAAAGACTGGCAGTTGGGTATATTTCCCCTTGAAGGCTCAGGGATTAGCAGCTTTATAGACAACGGCAATCCTGATTGTAAATCTGATTGTGTTTTCACAAAATAGTAGATTTAGCCCGTCTCCTCTTTCCTTAAATCCTGGTGCTGACTTCTCTTCCTTACTTATAAATATCCTTCATGGCATCATGTTTTTCCAGAATAGGGTACTTTTGTCTGCATTAAAAGCCTGTTCAGGAAGATACCCTTTCTCCTCAATGATTTTCTTAATGGCATCTTAGGACTCATCTGCTGCCTCTTGGTCAGCAGAAGCATGACTTTTGTCTGCGTCTTGGGAGCACTTCCACCATCATTAGTAGCACTTGACATGGGTCCTATGGTATTATTCAAAGTATTTACTGTATTGTGCTCAACATGATGGTAAATATGAAACTGCTAGAGAACACTTTTTACTGTGACACACAATTTGCTGGAGAGATGAACTGCTCATTTGAAGATGATTAGCATCACACGGCATTTTAAGTGAATACTCCCAACCCTTGAGCTCATCACAATGGCAACAGAAGGTGGCTACAAAATTATCAGTTGCACAGTATATACTACAGTTAATTTTATACAGTTATGATTTAATACTGCATCTTTATCTATTTACATTTATCTGTACTGTGAATGGCGTCATGTAGTCTGTGTGCAAATCGTTTTTGATAAATTATAATTAAAAAAACAGACTTGTGTACATTTTATGGTAGTAATAAAATGCACTCGTATTGACATAGTCAATTGTATGCATCCATGACATACCAACTTTTTCTTAGCTTCTGATATTTCTAAGATACAGTTTGCAAGTTTTTTCAAATTGCCAGAAATCTCCAAAAAATTTTCCGAGATACTTATTGAAAAAAAAAAAATCTGCCTGTAAGTAGACCCACACAGAGTTCAGACTCATGTTGTTCAAGGGTCAACTGTACCTTTTTCAAATGCTTGTCACCACCAACGTATTATATTCCCCATGATTTCACTCCAAATTTACTGGGGGTTTAAAATAAATAAATATAAACAAATATAAAATTCAAAAGAACATTTACTTCCCAAGATGCTAGAATGACAATCTAGTTGGAATTGAAACATAAAACCACCAGCAACACAGCTTATAAAGTAGTGTCAACTAGCACAGTTTTAGGCACTTCACTCAGTACTTGTCGATATATGACGATACAGCTTTACATTCAAGTGCTAAAGAAACTTAAGATTCAAGTGTACGTATGACTGCTTCTTGGAGAATTAGTCCTAGAAATGATCTGGATGTGAGGACAAGTAGAATGTGCTATATGCTTATTCAAATATCTACCTGTATCTAAATATAACTCAACAGGATTGATACTAAAAATCCAATGCTACAAACATACTATTTCTTATTTCCTTGACCCCTATCTGAAACGACACCTTCTTCAACTTAGGGTCTCTGCTTTTAACACTTCCTTTCCACATATACTTTATCTACTTTAAGGTATCCTCCCCATCTCTTCCTTGCTTCCCCAATCCCAAAAAACCTCCACCCATCTCATTTTCACATCACTGTGATCCACACTGGCACAGGGACAGAAAAATGTTCATTCCATTTATAGACATACTTGCAGATGCAGGGACTTAATTCAAGGATCAACATTGTACAAAAAGAATCCAGAGTTTGACCAACTCACCTTCCCAGCTACAAATGGCATATCTCCCAAGCATAATCTATAATGTGGTTGTGCACCAAAATAGTTCCTAGAACTTTTCTGAATGAAAAGAAAAGGAAAACAATTTTATTTTATTCACATGATAATAAAAACTGACTATACATGACTAACTTGAAACTTCAGTTAACTATTGGGCTACTACTTGCCTTATCTATAGCTGGCGTTATGATCACGAGCCAGCTCCTAATAGTACTTGTTAGCACGTATCCTAGCCTTGTAAAGGCTGGGGGGAATAAAGCACTTGACAAAACAACAGTTACATTCTAAGTAGAAAATCAGTATACATATACACAAAACATTGTAAGAGCACAAGATAATGCAGTACTAATAATAATGCTAATTTTGTATGGTGTTCTGCAGTTCCAAAATCCTTATATATTTTCTCACTATCAGGATAAAAATTTATAAGTATTACTTATCTCCACCTTCTGAATGAAGAAATTGAGAATGAAAGATTTACTCTCTCAAGGTTGTAGTACACCATACAGTTTATGGATGTTTTGACATAAACTATACCAAGTAATCAGCATTTTGCCTGATTTGGTTCTGTCTTCACACCTTTTCTGGTGGTTTTGACTTCTTTTTTTTAATTCTTCTTGCACTGGGAACACGTGGAGTTGCCTTATCTTCAAAAGTAAGTCTATTTGTTTCTAGACCAGTCTGCAACTAGGAAAAATGAGAGCCTAAAGTTAATGCTGTAGGAATAAAACATATGAAAGCCTGTAAAAGCCAATAGTAGTATCTAACTGAAAAACGTATTATAGCTGTATGTCTTGAACCAATCTATCAATGTTTGTCAAATATTTTAAATAAATACCAGTCTCTCATTTTATCTTGACCTTCTTTGTTATAATCTGTCCTTTCTTCAGTGTGGAACACATTACCTTCAGTATTTGTAGCTACTCCATAAATTCTATCTAATGAGTTAAAGGCAATGTATCTAACCCCAAACCATTGCTTCAATACATTCTCTTTTCAAAAATGGCATCTACTACATTACCAGACACAAAACAGCCGAAGAGCAGAATACATTTCTTCCCCTTCTAAAAAGCCATGCACTTATTATACAAGAAAAAGGAATTGAAAACTTATGTCCAAAAAAATACCAAAAAACAAAAAACACTGGAAGCTATCAGGCAAATGTTACCAAGTCCTTTTCTCTAGAAGCTTAGTAAGTATACTAATTTAAAAATATCCTGTCTTCATGGTAGAAATTCCACAAGCACTTACTAAGAATTTCAAAAAAGGACCGCTCTTTTCACTAAGCCAACTTTCAACTTTCCTTAAAAAACAACAGCAACAACAAAAAAACACAAAAAAAACCTGTCCAGAAGAGTGGTTCTTTCAAATCTGCCTATATGTACCAAAACTGTCTGCAGTTTATGAGGACAATTTGGATTGCCAGGTGGCTGTCCAGACCTCATGATTTTGGCTCTTCCAGATTGAGGAAATTCATATTTTAAAGTATTTTAAAAGTTCCCCAGGAAATTATAATGGAGCTAAAACAAATATTCAGAACCAGTGGATTCCATAAAAACAGATACTGAGATTATCACTATTACTTCCCACATGGGTGCAGCTTTGGGGTAAAAAAATGTATTCTGTGACAAAGGAATACAGGAAGCATCTATACACTCCCAACACACCTAACATTGCTTTATACATAGTAAATTGACTAGATATAATTCAATGAACAGGAAATTACTACTCTAGAAGACTTATGATGCCTATGAGTATAAACAATATACAAGAACATTTTTTTGAGTATTTTAACTTCCAGTTTATTTATTCTTCCCAGCAGCTATCTTATTTCTGTGCTACAGTTTTCAAACATTTTAAAGCACTTTCATTATTTTTTATTCTCATTTGATCACCCCAAAACCAAGAAGATGCAAAATGCAGAACACTTTTTTTTTTTTTGAGACAGAGTTTTGTTCTTGTTGCCCAGGATGGAGTGCAATGGTGTGATCTCAACTCACTGCAACTTCCACCTCCCAGGTTCAAGCGATTCTCCTGCCTCAGCCTCCCAAGTTGCTAGGATTACAGGCATGCACCACCACGCCTGGCCAATTTTGTATTTTTAGTAGACAGGGTTTCACCATGTTGGTCAGGCTGGTCTCAAACTCCTGACCTCAGCAGACCACTATTTAACAATGGAAAAAATCCAGGCTCTGAATAGTTACATAACTTGCCCGACACTAGACTTGGAACCACATATCTATCCCTCATTGTTCTTTCAGTACAATAATGTTCACCACCAACTCAAAATATTTACTGGTAACATATTACCAGCAACAACTAATTTGGTCCCTATGTGTTGCCTGCTAAATTAAGGAGAAAAAAGAAGTACCATAAATTATTTTAAAAATTCATTAACTAAGGAACTTACTAAATTTTGTATTTCATATATAATGTACTCAACACCACAATGCATATAAAGCACAACCCACAAGTTTGTTTGTTACAAATATGAAAATGGAAACACGGTGAAGTGGCCAACCCTAAAGAGAAAATTGGCAAAGAAAATTTGTTGGTCAAAAATTAAGCCATGTGGCTATGTAACTCAGAAAGCACACTGAGGAAAAACAACAATCTACAAATTGATCAGAAGGTAAATGTTTGAGAAAGAACTATATCCGATTTAATAGAAAATAAATTAAGTTAATAAATTTAGAGACACACTAGAAGAAATAGACAAGGTAACAAAGATAACTTTTATATTCCTGTAATCACATATATGATGTGAGCCCAAGACACTGTAGGCCTTTGGTCACAGATTGAACTGCAGAGGCTCTACTCTTTGGAATCAAGACCTGATTCTTGCATTCATCCAAAAAAAGATACATGCATATGTCATAAAAATAAAAGACCCTGGAAGGGGCAGGGGAGTATCTGGGAGGAATCTGAGCAAATAAGCTCATAAGGAGAGTGTCTTCAGTTAAAAACATGAACATTTTATTTTACTGAGTCTATAAGTCAGACTTACTTCAGTAGTCTTGCTATGTATCTCCTGGAAACGCATTTCTGGTTGGTACATATAAACTCAATGCTTTTGTGAATCCACACTGCCTCACCTATTCTATCTGGTGACCACTGCATGGGATAAAATCCAAAACTAGGATAGAGTAGAGCTCATTTTCCTCATGTGGTGGCTTCTGTTAACTGGTCTGGGTCATTAGCTACTGGGGCAGCCCACTACCTCAACTTCTGTCCTGGCATCTTGAGGTCACCAAAGAAAAGAAGTACCTATAAGTAGGACACTTAAAGAGCTTTTAAATATTTCTGATAGTGGCCATAAGAAGTTTTAACATGGTTACATACCTTCTTATGTGTATAGTCTCTGACATTATTTAGTCTGTCATTTTTTAAAATGCTGACTGAAACTCTACAATTACAAACATGCTAAAAAACTGTACAAATTTTGCTATCTATAAAAATACTTGTTCATAATTTTCCACATTAACTTGTATCTGAAAATTTATATGCTAGACTATTCTAAAATATAAATAATGTAAGATAACCAAATATAATTGTTTACTTGTATATAAAAAGCAGTAAGAAATATGAAGAGCCCACTTTCTCACATTTTAACTTACCTCAGCTGCCTTAGCTTGCATGCGTTTCCTTTCCTGTTCTTCTTCATGGAGTTTTGCTTCCAACTCTTGCATTTTTTTCTAGTGATAAAAATATCCAAAGGGATAAGGGTGAAAAGTCTTAAGTGTCTGTAAAATTTTAATATAGCAGCATTGGAACATGTAAATTTTATCCTACTCAATATAGGGTGGTTAGATCACTGTAGTAATGGAGGCTGTGAGCTGGATGGCATCCATGATGCTCTTCTATTGTGTTCAATTATTTATCATCTGTGAGGTAGGTGGATAAAATTACGGGTAAAATCTATGGCCAAAGAACACAGCACTGCATGAATGTAAATAGGGATATGGAGGCTAAATCTGGAACTTTATTCTCAGTGGTATTAAGTATCTCCCAAATGAAATAATTAAAACTAAAATTAGCTCAGAGAGCAACTTAAACCAAGTGATGCAAGCTTTAAGGATACTCAAAAACATTTACTTTTTTAACAAACATTTTAATTAAAAAAAAATGCCCACCAAGATTGTAAAATGTGAACACTCTCTCCAAATTTATATTTTCCTTTTAAAACTCCAATATATTTCATTATAAGATCATTTTTAATCCTATAAATATCCAGTGATACAAAATAATTAACCTTAAAAAAAAAATCCTGATATATGTTAACAATAAAAAGACACATGCACTGACTTCTGCAAGGGCCTGCATTGTGGTAAGTTTGTTATACTCCTGTTCAAGAAGATCCAATTTTTCAAGTTGGCTCTGAACATGTGTTAGATCATGCTGTCGTTCTCTTTCTAGAGAAACCTGAAAAACAATATTCAATACAGCTTGATAATTTGACAATCAAAAAACAGAAAAACACTTAACAGTGTTTTTCTATGCTGTTATTTGGCCCTTCACATAACTACTTCTAGGAAAATAACATTAAGATGAACCACAGGGGGCATCAATAAATGACTGTGATACAAGTGGATACTATTCTTACCTCAGTTGCCTTGGCTCATAGCTATTTATCTAATATGTAGTTTTATACAGTGACATTATCTTCATGCTCTGGGATAGCAGGGATTTATTGGACATATAGGTTTCACACACAGACAAATACTTTTAGTTTGGTCCTGTTAAGTAGTTAATCTCTTAATTAGGATAAAAATTATGGTTTTGGCATCTATCTTTTTATATTTCCTTTGAATTCTATGTATAATATCCTTTTAAACTTTTTTTTTTTTTGAGACAGACTCTCACTCTGCAGCCCAGACTGGAGTGCAGTGGCATGATCTCTGCTCACTGCAAGCTCTGCCTCCCGGGTTCACACCATTCTCCTGCCTCAGTCTCCCGAGTAGCTGGGACTACAGGCACGCCAACACACCCTGCTAATTTTTTGTATTTTTAGTAGAGACAGGGTTTCACCGTGTTAGCCAGGATGGTCTCGCTCTCCTGACCTTGTGATCAGCTCGCCTCGGCCTCCCAAAGTGCTGAAATTATAGGTGTGAGCCACCGTACCCGGCCCTAAACTTATTTTTTTTTTTTTAAAGTTTAGAGTCAAAGATTTATAAAGATTGCCTCCTATATAGACTTTTTTTTTTTTTTTTGATGTGGGGTATTGCTCTGTCACCAAGGTTGGAGCGCAGTGGCATGATCTCAGCTCACTGCAACCTCTGCCTCCGGGTTTCAAGTAATTCTCCTGCCTCAGCCTCCTGAGTAGCTGGGACTATAGGTGCCTGCCACCACACCCAGCTAATTTATGTATTTTTAGTAGAGACAGGGTTTCACCATGTTGGCCAGGCTGCTCTCAAACCCCTGACCTCAAGTAATCCACCCATATCCACTACACTAGGATAATTTCAAATATACTAACTCAAGGTCTATTATTGGTGAAAAGTGCCTGAACTTGTAAACTGTGTCTTCAAAATAGGGCTGTAACAATAGGTACCATATTAATAGAAATTTGAATGTGACAAATTAATATAAAGCAATAATTTAGGAATTTGTGTGAACTAATTCCCTTCTAGCCACATCTTAGTGGATATTAACAGCTCTTGACATCGATTACATATGCCTAATAGTTGTCTCTGAGATATATATTAGTCAAAACATCTTAAAGTTGCCTTACTAAACTGACCCTTCTCCAGCCCATCCACAGAAATGTTACACAAACACAGCAGACATAATAATAATAATATATGATTATTGATGTGGTCTAGCTCTGTGTCTTCAACCAAATCTCATCTTGAATTGTAATCCAAATTGTAATCCCCACATTTTGGGGGAGAGATCTCATGGGAGGTGATTAGATCATCGTGGTGGTTCCCCATGCTGTTCTAGTGATAGTGAATTCTCACGAGATCTGATGGTTTTATACGGGCTCTCCCCCGCTTTGCTCTGCACTTCCTTCTCTTGCCACCATGTGAAGAAGGACATGTATGCTTCCCCTTCCACCATAATCGTTAAGTTTCCCGAAGCCCCCACCAGATATACAGAACTGTGAGTCAATTAAATCTCTTTCTTTTATAAATTACCCAGTCTTGGTTGCTCTTTCTAGCAGCGTGAGAATGAACTAATACAATTACACAGCAATTTTGAAAGCAAGAAAGGAAAATCTTCAGATACAAAAAAAAGAGAAAGGAACTCAAAAGCAATGAAAGGATACTGAAGTCAATATCACACAAGGCAATATTGGAGCCAGGGTACATAGAATGTGCAGGAATATAAAACTTTAGGCAATGTATAATCTACAATGATCAACAATATCAAGCCAATATAGTAACATAAATCTGAATCAGAACCAGTGATTTTATTTATTGTTTGCAGAGACTTGGTCTCACTCTGTTGGCCTGGCTGGTCTTGAACTCGTGCACTTATGTGATCTGTCTGCCTTGGCCTCCTAAGTGCTGGGATTACAGGTGCGAGCCACCCTGCCGAGCCAGAACCAGTGAAAACCATCAAGCCTAACCAAAGGCAAATTCACAACGGGCCCATAAGGCTGCCCACACAACTGAGGAATTTATTGTGGAATTACCACAATAAATGAAAAAATGAGACCACCATTTAACTTTTCTTTATTAAGTTCCCATTAAAAAAACAAGATACCATAAGGGAGAATCAATAGATAAAACCAAACAAAGATTAACACTTTGAAAACATCAAATAATTTTTAAAAATTGAGATTCACAGTGTTCAAAGAGATAAAAGGAAGGTATAAAAACCACAGAGTTACAATACATTAAAAGAACAAAACTAAGTGGATGGAAAAAGACCCAAATGAAAATGAAAACATATAACCACTGAAATAAACGCAATAACATAGTGAAGAGACCTATCGCACACAAGAATTACTGAGACATTTTCTCAAATATTGTTGTATGATTGCTCAAATATTTAAGTCTAATTTTCTCCAACGAGAACTGAAAGCTGATTGAGTGTAGAAAGCATATACGGTAAGCCCTCTGTATCTGTGTGTTTTGCATCCATGGATTCGATCAACTGTGGATTGAAAATATATGAGAAAAAACAAAAAAGGATGGTTGAGTCTGTACTAAACATATACAGATTCTTATTCTTATTCTTGATATTATTCTCCAAACAATATAGTATAGCAACTATTTACATAACATTTACATTGTATTAGGTATTATAAGTAATCTAGAGATAATTTATAGTATATGAGATTGGGTGTAGGTTATATGCAAATACCACACCATTTTATAGGACACTTGAGCATCCATGGATTTTACTATCCACAAGGGTCTCAGAACCAATTCACTTATGGATACTGAGGGACAACTGCCTAGTATTTCTTTTTTTACACTGCAGAGCATCTAGCATAATGTTAAGCATATAAATATTCAAATTTTGCATAATAAAGATCTCCACAAACTGTAGCACTGATAATGAATGCAAACTCCAGATTCGTAACAGAAAAAGGAATAAGTTTTTAAAAATATACACAAGGTCAGGGACAGTGGCTCATCCCTGTAACCCCAGAACTTTGGGAGGCAGAGGCGGCCTGATCACTTGAGGCCAGGAGTTTGAGACCAGCCTGGCCAACATAGCGAAACCCCACCTACACTAAAAATACACACACCAAAAAGTTAGCTGGGCATCGTGGCACGTGCCGGTAATCCCAGCTACTCAGGAGGATGAGGCATGAGAATCACCTGAGCCTAGGAAGTGGAGGTTGCAGTGAACTGAGATCATGCCACTACACTCCAGCCTGGGTGACAGAGTGAGACCCTATTTCCGATCAATTGATCAATCAATATATTTGAGACTGATGTTGCGATATCTTCTCACAAATGTGCGGGTTACCTAAATATGAAGAGCTCTGGTGTAAGAAAGCACAAAAATGTTATGCTAAATAACAATTCTGAAGAGATTTACAAAGTAATCTACTATCTCACTTGAGCCATTAAACAAATTTCAGAGATATAGAGTTATATGGTTATTTACACTTTTTATAATGTAGACTCAAAGAAGCTAACATAACTTTAAAACATCTCACAACTGTATTTTTACTATTTAAGTTAAACTCTACCAAACACAATAATAACAAAAAAAGCCAATCACATTTTTCGATGCCAAGAAATTTCAGTCCTGGGCTATAACAGCACCATCAGTCCTCACCGGAAGAAAAAAAATCTTTATTTAATTAGTCTTCCCCGTAACTAACTGTTTCTGAGTATCAGTCTGTGAGGTGCTTTACTTACTTGTTTCTCTAACACAGATGTCCTCTCCATTTCTGCATGCTTTATCATATTTCGCATGTATTCCAATTGTTTTTCTAATAGATTGCATTTATTTTCTGCAGCTAACAACTGAGATGTCAGTTCTAAAAAGAATACATAAGAAAAACAGATATCAACTCACCCATAAAACAGTTTTAACAAGCTGTTAACAGGACTTGAATCTACCGTGTATACAATAAAAACACCTTCCACAGACCTAGAAACCTTTTCAGATTACCGAAATCATTCTCTTTCTACATGCTAGTAAAACTGGCCTTGCATTCAGTAAATAAATACCATGTACGATAACGGCATTTGCTCCTCAAAATGCACCTGAATACAATGCAGTTTTGTAGTACTTGAAGATACCACTACAAAACACTAATGTAGTATTTCTTTTAGAACACTTAATACTGCACAACACTTATTTGATAGAATTTAATTTTCTTCATAAACAAACCTTGATTGTGCTTTGATTCCTCATTCTTTGAATTCTCCCTTTCTTGTATCTGTTCATCCAGTACTTTCTTATATTCAATTGTTTCTCTAGACAAGGTTTTCACACTTTCTTCTGCCTGAATCCTCTCAAGTTCCAAGCGTCGAATCTTATCTTGAAGATTCTTAAGAGCAGAAAATATGGCTGCCAAATACAAACACAAACATGGATGCTATAACAGCATATGTGGTGAAAGTATATTAAGAAAGAATAAACTCATCTAAATAAAAGATAAAATTGATGGGTGAGTCCAGTGGAGGATCATTCTTTGGGAACAATAAAATGTTAATTATCTCATGTTTGTTTTTTAAGAAATCAATTTAAAGACACTGAGTGGGCCAGGTGCGGTGGCTCACACCTGTCATCCCAGCACTCTGGGAGGCTGAGGTGGGTGGATCAACTGAGGTCAGGATTTTGAGAGCAGTCTAACATGGTGAAACCCTGTTTCTACTAAAAACACAAAGATCAGGCGGGTGTAGTGGCGGGCGCCTGTAATCCCAGCTACTTGAGAGGCTGAGGCAGGAGAATCGCTTGAACCCAGGGGAGGGGTGGAGGTTGCAGTAAGCTGAGATTGCACCACTGCACTCCAGTCTGGGCAACAGCGTGAGATTGCGTCTCAAAAAAAAAAAAAAAAAAAGACAATGAGTGTTTGAAATGAGTTCAAGTAAAAGCCCCATTACTATGGTAAAAAAATTGCAAAGACTTTTATAAAGTGGTAAAAAAATTAGCCATCATACAAAGTTCACATAACAGTCCTAAAGTACATTACTGTCTTATTAATATATTAATTAAAATTATTAGTAAATATATTAACTAGTAACTAATAAGACATTTTATTAACAGAAGCACATGTAAAATCCAACTGTAGAGTTACAGTCGAGTGCAAATAAATACTATTTTTAAAATCTGCATTTTAAGTACTTTCTAAACTCCCCTTCAAGTTTCTGATTATAAATTATGTTGACTGCAGTAAATGTAGACTAAGAAAAAACACGCTGAATAATAACTAATAATCCTATTACCCAGAGATAATGACTGTCATTTTGTTCTTTAAATTTTTTTCTGTATGTGTAAAATAAATTGAGATAAAATGTATGTAGGTTTTTTCACTTTAGCATTATTAAATCGTGAGAATTTCCTCATGCAATCTGTCTTAAAAGATTTTCTAATGATCAATAATTAAAAACTAAAAAGTTCAACTACTGGCTCAAAGAACATTCATAGCCATTCTAATGAGAAAAATATGCTACTTCTAGCTATTTTCCATTTCCATTATAGTGTAAATCTTTTCGTATACGTTATTGGCCAATTTTCTCCCTTTCATGAATTTCCTTTGCCCGTTTTTGTACGGGAAAAAGTTTTCTTCATTTTATTATCTGCCTTTAATTCTAGTTCTGATGTACAGATGTTTTGATTTTTCACAGAGGTATACCTAACATTCTTTCCCATCATGGCTTTTTTAATACTTTAAGTACTAAGGTACATGTGCACCACGTGCAGGTTTGTTACATATGCATTCATGTGCCATGTTGGTGTGCTGCATCCATTAACTCATCATTTACATCAGGTGTATCTCCTAATGCTATCCCTCCCCCCTCCCCCGACCCCATGACAGGCCCTGGTGTGTGATGTTCCCCACCCTGTGTCCACATGTTCTCATTGTTCAATTCCCACCTATGAGTGAGAATGTGCAGTGTCTGGTTTTCTGTCCTTGTGATAGTTTGTTCAGAATCATGGTTTCCAGCTTCATCCATGTCCCTACAAAGGACATGAACTCATCCTTTTTTATGGCTGCATAGTATTCCATGGTGTGTATGTGCCACATTTTCTTAATCCAGTCTATCATTGATGGACATCTGGGTTGGTTCCAAGTCTTTGCTATTGTGAATAGTGCTGCAATAAACATACGTGTGCATGTGTCTTTACAACAGCATGATTTATAATCCTTTGGGAATATACCCAGTAATGGGATGGCTGGGTCAAATGGTATTTCTAGTTCTAGATCCTTAAGGAATCACCACACTGTCTTCCACAATGGTTGAACTAGTTTACGGTACCGCCAACAGTGTAAAAGTATTCCTATTTCTCCACATCCTCTCCAGGACCTGTTGTTTCCTGACTTTTTAATGATCGCTTTAATGGCTTAGAATTGTCTTGGCAATGCAGGCTCTTTTTTGGTTCTGTATGAATTTTAAAGTAGTTTTTTCCAATTCTGTGAAGAAAGTCATTGGTAGCTTAACAGGGATGGCACTGAATCTATAAATTACCTTGGGCACTATGGCCATTTTCACAATACTGATTCTTCCTATCCATGAGCACGGAATGTTCTTCCATTTGTTTGTGTCCTCTTTTATTTCATTGAGCAGTGGCTTGTAGTTCTCTTTGAAGGGGTCCTTCACATCCGTTGTAAGCTGGATTCCTAGGTATTTTATTCTCTTTGAAGCAATTGTGAATGGGAGTTCATTCATGATTTGGCTGTTATTGGTGTAGAGGAATGCTTCTGATTTTTGCACATTGATTTTGTATCCTGAGACTTTGCTGAAGTTGCTCATCAGCTTAAGGAAATTTTGGGCTGAGATGGGGTTTTCTAAATACACAATCATTTCATCTGCAAACAGGGACAATTTGACTTCCTCTTTTCCTAACTGAATACCCTTTATTTCTTTCTCCTGCCTGACTGCCCTGGCCAGAACTTCCAACACTATGCTGGAATAGGAGTGGTGAGAGAGGACAACCCTGCCTTGTGCCAGTTTTCAAAGGCAATGCTTCCAGTTTCTGCCCATTCAGTATGATATTGGCCATGGGTCTGTCATAAATAGCTCTTATTTCGAGATACATCCCATCAATACCTAGTTTACTGAGAGTTTTTAGCATGAAGGGTGGTTGAATTTTGTCGAAGGCCTTTTCTGCATCTATTGAGATAATCATGTGGTTTTTGTCTTCGGTTCTGTTTATATGATGCATTACGTTTATTGATTTGCCTATATTGAACCAGCCTTGCATCCCATGGATAAAGTCAACTTGATCGTGGTGGATAAGCTTTTTGATGTGCTACTGGATTTGGTTTGCCAGTATTTTACTGAGGATTTTTGCATTGATGTTCATCAGGGATATTGGTCTAAAATTCTTTTTTTGTTGTATCTCTGCCAGGCTTTGGTATCACGATGATGTGGGTCTCATAAAATGAGTTAGGGAGGATTCCCTCTTTTTCTATTCATTGGAACTGTTTCAGAAGGAATGGTATCAGCTCCTCTTTGTGCCTCTGGTAGAATTCAGCTGTGAATCCATCTGGTCCTGGACTTTTTTTGGTTGGCTGACTATTAATTATTGCCTCGATTTCAGAGCCTGTTATTGGTCTATTCACGGATTCAACTTCTTCCTGGTTTAGTCTTGGGAGGGTGTATGTGTCTACAAATTTATCCATTTCTTCTAGATTTTCTAGTTTATTTGCGTAGAGGTGTTTATAGTGTTCTCTGATGGTAGTTTGCATCTCTGTGGGATTGGTGGTGATATCCCCTTTATCATTTTTTTATTGTGTCTATTTGATTCTTCTCCCTTTTCTTCTTTATTAGTCTTGCTAGCAGTCTATCAATTCTGTTGATCTTTTCCAAAAACCAGCTCCTGGATTCACTGATTTTTTGAAGGGTTTTTTGTGTGTCTATCTCCTTCAGTTCTGCTCTGATCTTAGTGATTTCTTGCCTTTTGCTAGCTTTTGCATGTGTTTGCTCCTGCTTCTCTAGTTCTTTTAATTGTGATGTTAGGGTGTCAATTTTAGATCTTTCCTGCTTTCTCTTGTGGGGATTTATTTAGTGCTATAAATTTCCCTCTACACACTGCTTTAAATGTGTCCCAGAGATTCTGGTATGTTGTGTCTTTGTCCTCACTGGTTTCAAAGAACATCTTTATTTCTGCCTTCATTTCGTTATTTACCCAGTATTCATTCAGGAGCAGGTTTTTCAATTTCCATGTAGTTGAGTGGTTTTGAGTGAGTTTCTTAATCCTGAGTTCTAGTTTGATGGCACTGTGATCTGAGAGACAGTTTGTTTTAATTTCTGTTCTTTTACATTTGCTGAGGAGTGCTTTACTTCCAACTATGTGGTCAATTTTGGAATAAGTGTGATGTGGTGCTAAGAATGTATATTCTGTTGATTTGGGGTGGACAGTTCTGTAGATGTCTATTGGGTTCACTTCGAGCAGAGCTTAGGTAAAGTTCTGGATATCCTTGTTAACTTTGTTTCGATGTGTCTAATGCTGATAGTAGGGTGTTAAAGACTCCCATTACTACTGTGTGGGGGTCTAAGTCTCTTTATAGGTCTCTAAGGGCTTGCTTTATGAATCTGGGTGCTCCTGTATTTGGCACATACATATTTAGGATAGTTAACTCTTCTTGTTGAACTGATCCCTTTACCATTGTGTAATCATCTTGTCTCTTTTGATCTTTGTTGGTTTAAAGTCTGCTTTATCAGAGACTAGGATTGCAACCCCTGCTTTTTTTTGTTTTCCATTTGCTTGGTAGATCTTCCTCCATCCCTTTATTTTGAGCCTATGTGTGTCTCTGCACGTGAGATGGGTCTCCTGAATACAGCACACTGATGGGTCTTGACTCTTTATCCAATTTGCCAGTCTGTGTCTTTTAATTGGAGCATTTAGCCCACTTACATTTAAGGTTAATATTGTTACGTGTAAATCTGATCCTGTCATTATGATGTTAGTTGGTTATTTTGCTCATTAGTTGCTGCAGTTTCTTCCTAGCACCACTGGTCTTTACAATTTCGCATGTTTTTGCAGTGGCTGGTACTGGTTGTTCCTTTCCATGTTTAGTGCTTCCTTCAGGAGCTCTTTTAAGGCAGGCCTAGTGGTGACATAATCTCTCACCATCTCCTTGTCTGTAAAGGATTTTATTTCTCCTTCCTTCACTTATGAAGCTTAGTTTGGCTGGATATGAAATTCTGGGTTGAAAATTCTTCTCTTTAACAATGTTGAATATTGGCCCCCACTGTCTTCTGGCTTGTAGAATTTCTGCAGAGAGATCCGCTGTTAGGCTGATGGGCTTCCCTTTGTGGGTAACCTCACCTTTCTCTCTGGCTGCCCTTAATATTTTTTCCTTCATCTGAACTTTGGTGAATCTGACAATTATGTGTCTT